TAGCGCCATTTTGGATATCCACTGAATGCTAACAAGCGTATGTTGTTCTTTGTCAGACGCACTTTTTATCCCTGTTTGTACTAAACCCATTTGGTGGGTTTGCTGCCAAAAAGCTATTTTTTTAGTTTCATCTGACCATAGAAGCCAGTGGCATTTGAAGTTCCAGTCGTATCTGACAACTGAATATGCTGGAGTTTGTTTTTGGATGAGTGAGGAGAATTTTTCTTGAAACCCTCCCAAACAACATGTGGTGATATAGGTGCTGTTTGACCATTTTTTTTAAGGTTTTCTGACCCTGAGACTCAACTATTTTCTGCGATTCTCCAGCTGTGGTCCTTGGAGAGTCTTTAGCCACTCAAACTCTCCTCCTCACTGTGCATTAGGACGATATAGACACACGTCCTCTTCCAGGCAGATTTGTAACATTGTATGTTGATTGGAAATTCTTAATTATTGCCCTGCTGGTGGAAATGGGAATTTTCACTGCTCTAGCTCTTTTCTTAAAGCCACTTCACCAATTTGTGAAGCTCAATTATCTTTTGCTGCACATCAGAAATATATTCTTTGGTTTTTCTCATTGTGATTGATGATTAAGGGAATTTGGGCTTTGTTTCAGAAATTTATATTTCTGTGAAACAGGAAGCCATGGCTGGATAATTTCATGTTCATAATCACCCTGGAGTGCTCAAAATTGTGAATATGAATGGGAATATACTTCAGAGATATTTTACTCATAAGAATTTCTAGGGGTGCCAATAATTGTGTCTAACGTGTATTTGAGAAAAACATTTATTTCATAATGATATTTCCCCCCATTTTCAATTCTTATTATCCAATGAAAGGTTCGATTTTTGTGAATTTTTTTAATAAAAGATCAAAAGGATTAACAATGCAGATTAATTTTCACAGCCTTCTTTGATCATATTTACCAAGGATGCCGATATTTTTGGCCATGACTGTATGTTTCAGTATGGAGCAACTTCTGGAAAATGCTTAAAAACACTATTGTGGACGTACCCTGACGTCATGCATCCCAAACATCCACTAAAAAATGATCCTGGAACAAAATGGTTACAAGTCATTCCAAAAGTGGCTCAGATAAATGAACTTCTGAGGAAAGGTCAAGGACATTTGATTGCATATACTACTTTTGTTATTAGTTTTATATGCACTGACATTCAGGCATTAGGTGTCCAAATACTTTTTGAGGTCACCACAGTCTGGATTTAGTTTAAAGAGTCATCATGAAGTAAGATTCTTTGTGTGCTCTCTTTGCAAAGCAATAATTAGATTTTCCAAAACACTACTAAGTATTATTTTTTGGTAAAAAAAAAAAAATAAAGAATCTAGAAATAACAGAAGCTTCTGGCTGGTTAAAATGTTTCAGTTTGGTCCTTTTTGCATGTGTGAGAAATTGTGTTTGAGAAACCGTGCAGCTGAGTCATTCATCCATAGCCCATCCTGTGAAGACAGAAGTAATTTCTGAAAGGGCCAGTAATGGGCTGAGGGACCGTTATCATGGGCTGGGTGGTGTTGAGCAATGCCTGTTCTCACCCACAACAAGCTGGCTATTGTGCAACAGCTGCTCAGTCACCACGCAAACAATAGCTGACTCTGTGACCCATTGTCACCCATCTATTGGCCCGTCATGTGTTGAGACTGAGAAGAATGAAGGCGAGCAAAAATAGCAATGCATACAACACCCATATTCATGGATGATTGAAAAAGAATCAAGCGTAGCGTTAGTTCTGGCAGGTCACGTTAGTCAAGCTCGCATCAGCTGACCTTCAGCTGATCCCCATCTACCTATGGGACTACGACACCTATCTAAGCATTCATATATAAGGTCCCTCAGTATTATCAGCAGTTTTCGCATTGCTCAATAGCTAATTACCCTCCTCCATCCCCAACTCCTCCTCTGTCAGTCGGGATTCAGCCTTCTGATTACCCTTGAATCAGACTAATTCTAAAATGTGTACATAAAATGACTGAACTTTAACAATATCTGCAATACATTTATGTTAGTTCTGTTCTGTTTACCCTGGGGGGTTATTGCTGCTCTCCCTGTTCTCATCCATGCTAGGCTGCATGGAGGCGCAGGGAGTTCTTGCCCAGAACAGAACCATACCGCCAATCCAAACTGTATGCTAATTGTCAATCATCTTTGACGATAGTGGTCCTGACAGAAAAATATTTTATCCATTTACTCATAGTCATACCCCTGCATAAAACAGCAAGCAAAAATAGCAATGCATACAACACCCATATTCATGGATGATTGAAAAAGAAAATATTTTATCCATTTACTCATAGTCATACCCCTGCATAAAACAGCAAGCAAAAATAGCAATGCATACAACACCCATATTCATGGATGATTGAAAAAGAAAATATTTTATCCATTTACTCATAGTCATACCCCTGCATAAAACAGCAATTTATTTAAATATCTGGAATATCCACAGGTAAATAAACAAATAATAAGCCTTTCCATACAGCACAGAAAATAATCACAAAAACGCTTGCCAAAACAAAAATCCATTTATTTTCTCACAATGTCCTTTAGTATAGTATTGAGCAAAAAAGTTGTCAATAAA